TTGAGAGAGAATGAAAGGCAAACAGGAAGAAAAATAAAAACAAAAAGAAGAAAGAGAACAGGAACAGGAGTGGGCTCAGGTGCTCTTGTATTAAATGTCAAATAAACACAGTGAGGCATTAAACAAAAGAAAGAGGAAACAAAAAGTTCACAGGTGTGATTTCTGTCACCGATAATCTGTGGTTGAGTCCAAACGCACAAAAAGACAAAAAGACAAGTTTCATTTCATGGCAGCTTGACATATTTGTTAGCACTGAAACTTAACGAAGTCGCAACTCAAAGACAAAGTTATTTTTCACATTCACACGCTGAAATAGAAAGAGTGTAAGAGTGTTAATTAAATATTAAGTCCATTTAATAAATTAAAACATATTCCCAGGCACTAATCTTATCTGTGTTATATATCTATAAACAATAGATACTAAACTCACTTTTATCAAAAAGATTGATGAAACAAAAGTTCACTGGGCAACAGTTTGAGTTTCAGTTGAGCTGCAGCTACACAGGAAGTGATGCCACGATGTCTCTATAAGTTTCCAGTGGAGATAAAAAAGTGAATCTGGAATTTCTTACGCACACAAAGACCCGACCGCAGGGACACTTTAACACACTGTAACAGTAGATGTGAGACGCAGTGAGGTAACTGATAAGACCTCTGTGTGTGTGTGTGTGTGTGTGTGTGTGTGTGTGTGTGTGTCTCAGTGACCTTCAGAAGCTAAAAACAGCCTCCTTGCTGTCAGCAGCTCGAGCCGCTCGCTGCTACACTGCAGGTCTGAGTGAGCTGAGGAGGCTGCAGCTCTAAAACACACAATATACTGACGTGAGTTTACTGTAACACAAAGTCACAGCAACTCACATTTTAACATGTTTCTGCCTGTTTTGGTTTCATTGGTTTCTTTTTGCATCTCTGAAGTCTCTCATCTCAGTTGTTTTGCGTCTCTGTAGCCATTCATTGTCTCTTTGTCATCATGTCTTTACGACCAACTATACGTTCCTGGTCCTGCTGCCCCCCCCCCCCCCCCGTTATCTCCTTCTCTGTAGCACGGCGACATAAACTGCAGTGACACCAGCAGAAATCCTTGAGTACAGCTCAGTGAGCAGAACGTGGATCTTTTTCAGCTCAGTGAAACTTGCGCAGCTGTAACAGGACGCAGCGATGAGAGCTGAGTCAGGTCCATGTGTTACAGCAGGAGCTCAGCTTTCACACAGACTGTGAAACTTTATTAGAGCAGCTCAGAGGACGCTCCGCTGAGTGTCGGCTGAACGTGGGCTGTGAAGCAGCAGTGTGGACTGCCTGAGACCGTCATGCAGAACATTTTAACTGATGCTGTTTATGTTTGTTGTGTGACTGAGTCAGCAAATTTCATCAAGCAACAATTACTTTAATATTAAGAGTCTGTATTGAGGCTAAAATCCACACAGTGTCGATCACTGATATTATTATTGTTCAATGTTCCAACACTGACACGAAAATCTGAATAAATCTGCAGCGATTCAGAAGTTTTTCATTATTTCAAAATGCAAAGAATGTGAAGGTGAGCTCACGTCCTTCAGCAGCTGCAGTATTTATGTGTAACTGCCCCCAACTGACTCCACATGTTACATTTCACACTGATGACACAATCTAGATAAATGATGTGGAATGAAAACACTGTTGGGATCTGTACTTTAAATCTAAATGTTCTTTAATCTTATTTTTAAATTAAAATTAAATTTCATTTTTCTTTCATGAAACAAACTATTTTGTAGTTGATCTTTGAATATAGAAGATTTATTTAGTACGTGATGTTGAGGCTGGTCTGTTCTATTTCTCTCTAGTCAGCCATCTTTGTAGTCCAAACATTGTTTTAATGAGAAAATAGGAGAATTACTTATCAGAGAGGAGAAACGTCATTCTGCTTTAATGCACAGTCGAGCGATACAGCAGAGAAACGAGCAGCAGGTCAGAGCAGCAGAGCTGAGAGGAAACCTGCTGAGACATCTGAGGACGTCCACGTCTTCACACTCATTTCAAATGTTAAATATAATAAGGCCCTCACAGTTAATCTGTGCATGAGACAATAATCAAAATGAAGAACATGTTTATAAAATGTGGGACAACATTCACACGTTCACCACATACTGTTACCCCCCCCCCTCCTCCGGGTAAAGAGCAGCAGGTCCACTCTGGTTCCTCATCTGTCCATTAATCCGACCTTCTCCACTCAGCTCCCTGGACCTTCTGCTCTGAACCTGCAGAAACAACCAACCAAACCCCTAGGGATGATGGGAAGTGTCCACTGTCCCTCGCTTATCCAGACGCTCACTGATCGAGAGACGCCAGCGGCAGGAAACGCGGCGTTAAACCACCGCTGTCATAGTGACGGCAGATTATTGCCACATGGCACCGAACACAGAGACGCAGAAATCATTCAAACAAAGATTGTTTGTTGTGAACTGTGATCAGTTAAAAAGAATCAGACGTTATTAAAAAATAGAGTTTATCTCCAATATTCAGCAGCAAACTTATGAAATATGAAGAATTCCCATGAAACCACTTCATCACTCGGACACAGACACCAACAGACCAAACACCACATGTGGCTGCAGGGGGCGCTGACGCTCACTTACAGTTACATGGTTTAAATGTCACGTTTCCATCATACCAATGATCCTCTGGTTGTTTGGAATCAACATGTGATGTTTCATGACCAGTTTAATCTTTCTCTCTGTCAAACAGCTTCCGATATGGCTGCATGATGATGTGACGGAAACACAGACAGAGCCAGGAAAGAGCAGAGGGAAGCTGCTCGTCAGCTGTTCCTGAATGACTGAGCCTGCTGACTCTGTGTGTGTGTGTGTGTGTGTGTGTGTGTGTGTGTGTGTGTGCGTGTGTGTGTGTGTGTGAACAGCTGCTGGACGTCATTGTGTCGCTCCTGACAGAATCGACAGATGATCAGCTCACTCTTTTAATAATCAGATCTGCTCTAATTCTGATTCTATGATTTCATCGATTACAAATATTGATTTTTACAATTATCAGTGAAGTTCTGCAGATTCATTTATTATTTCTGAGCAGATTCATAAATATTTATTTGCAATTTACATCTAAGATAAGTGGAAAATCTAGATCTGAAAAGATATGTTTCATGTCTGAGGGTTTGAAGGGTGAGATGTGTGATGCAAATTGCAGCAATCAGCCGCTGAATGTTTTGAAGTAGCTGTGTGTGTGTGAGTGGGTGTGTGTGTGTGTGTGAGTGAGTGTGTGTGTGTGTGTGTGTGTGAGTGAGTGAGCCACTGCTGCGTCAGCGTCAATCAACCAGAACTGATTGCCTGTTGTTTTGAGAAACACCTGTTTCATTATCACCCTCACAACCTTTTGAACAAGGTCTCTCCACCATTAATAACTTTCTTTGTGTAGCGATTATGTTTTTAACGTCCGTTATAACTCAAAGATCAAGCGTTTTTTTATTAAAGTGCCAGTTTTGAGGAAACGTGTTAATTTTGTCCTTTTTCCAGCACAAACACGTCATTAAACAGCTGAGAATGAACGAGTCGGTGTGGAAATATATGAAATATTTTCTTGTCGGAGATGTGCATCGTTGTGTGAACATCTCATCTGCAGCAGCAAACACACTCAGACAACTGCCCCCCCCCTCTTTTCTCTCTGAGGATAATTTTTCTCAGAACCAAATCTTTTCCAGAAATCAAAGTCAAGGTTTTTCGGCTCTCAGCTCCTCAGACCCTCAAACATGTTTCCTCCTCCTCCACTGAAGCTCAGCTGTCAGATCACCAACACCCAAACATCAGCAGCAGCTCCTAACTCCGCCGTCAGGCTTTAAAACAGTCTCCATGTTGTTTCTGCTGGATGAACATGCAGCACACAAGGGGTCAGAGGTCACATGGAAGAGAGGACGCCTAGAACACCATCCATCCAGTCCACTCATCATTTCATTCACATCATCCGCCTCCAGCTTCCTCCTCCGCTTCCTGGACTACGCACATGCTCAGCCCCGTTCAACCCTGATGACATCACGAGCGAAGCGACATTAGGCTGCTCACACATGGTCAACAACCGTGTCAGCAGAGCAGGCAACTGACGGGGGCCCCGAGCTGAGAGGAGACCAACAGCTGATCAATGAGTTGTGTGGGGCCCCAGGTCCACTTTGACTGCAGCCCTCAAAGTCCCTTGAATAGTCCCTGAACACGGAAATACTATATTGTTCATTTTTCAATCAAAGAACATTCACGCCTTTCCATATTGAAAGAGCTTTTTATAAACGACCTTGAAAATCTCCAGACCTCATCTCACAAACAACATATTTATCGATATATACAGTATCTATATATATATTGATATATTTCAATTGTAAACCTGCTGAATACCAAAACCAAATGGACGTAGAGAGGTTGTGTTATGGAGAAGAAACCAGAAAATTAATTCCTGGCACATTTCAGACATTTAACTGAAGCAGAATGAACCTGAAACCCAACAAGCAGCCAACAGAAAGAAGGTCAAAGGTCAAGGATCACAGCATCCAGACAACAGTAAATTCTCTGTGACTGAAGAAGAAGAGCACAGTGAAGCAGAGGGAAGTGTTTCCTCTCTTTTTATTCCTGCTCCATCTATTCAGAGACGAAGCTGTGAAACCAACACCAGCTCCAGTTTTAGGCCCCTGCTCTGCTTTCGGCCTCCCTGACAAATCCTGGCAGCCGTCATGCCCTCCGGGGCTGACGGGGGCCGACAAGGGGCCACAGGTCTCACCCTGCCAGGGTTTAAAATCCACCACTAATCACAGCTTATCATCAAAATGAATCAAAAACACAGCAGGATCAGATTTAAAGGAAGACAGAGTTTTTACACCGGTTTCCATTTATTTCAACCGACGGACTGAGAACTGCAGACACCTTCTCAAATCATCACGTTCCTCTGTGAAACCTTATTTTCTGAAAACAGCGTTTTTATTACACTGATTTTATTTTCCTTTTATGAAGTTTCTAAATGCTGTTTCTGTATCTCACTTAAATTCATTAAACTTTACAAACACATTTTTTGTTGCAGTTGCTGGAAGAGACGACAGGAAATGAGGTGCAGAACATGCAGAAAAGAAAAAGCTCCAATTAGAGACTTTACAATCCTGGTGTGTTCATTCAGACGCCCCCGCCTCCGTCTGTCTTAATTCAAGATCCAGATACATATGAGCTGAATCTCTATTTATGATTTCCTCACTGCACCAGCAGATTCCATCACTTGTTCTTCAGCAAATAAGTGTCAGTGTTTCAGCTGGTTCTTACCCTGGAGATGGTCAGTGGCATGTTGAAGTCCTTCCCTCCCTGCAGCCTGAAGCCCCAGGGGCCGGGGCCGGGCAGCGTCACAGTGTAGGAGCTCATTCTTCCAGGTGAAACTTTAAAGATCCTGCGAAGCGGACGACGGCAATTGAACCAAACTTTTTTTTAAAACCCCGCAGCAGCTGGAGGGACGGGAGGGAAGCGCTGGCGCCGAGTAGCTTCTGAAAGGAGACAGAAAAACAGGCTGTGAAACAGGTGAAAGGTGTGAGAGCCAAAAACTGACGTGACACAAAAAAACTGTGGCCAACACACAAACTCAAGACTCAGAGAGAAAGAGTCAGGGGAAGAGGAAGAAGCAGCGAGAGGAGAAAGAAGAGGACCTGCCTGCTCAGACGAGCTGAAGTGACAGCCTAAGAATAGCCAGAGATAGCACTGTGTGGCATTGTGTGTGGGGGGGTGGAAGGGTGAGGCAGGGTGAGGCATGGCACGGGGGGGGGGAGGGGAAAGGAGGGGGGGTTGGACTTATATGGCGTGAAAGGGGACCCCTGGTATGTCAGGCTCGCCGTGATTCACCGGGGCTAATATAGACCCAGCAGATTCTTCTAGACACCCCCCCGCCCCCCACCCCCGACCCCATAATGCCCAGGGTCTCCCTCAGATCCAATCAGGGGCGACGCCAGGAAACGTCTCATTACCTCTGTGACGGTAAAGCTGAAACAGAAAGGGCACGAATAAAGTGTCTTCGATTCGTGAAAGGTCAGTGGCAGATGGTTATTACGGCAAGGTCACAGGTTCAAATCCCCTCATCACACCAAACACAATCTTCTGTTTCAGGTTTGCTTCATTAACTTTTCATTCATCAACGAAACATAAGATTCTTTATTTTCCAGAATAATCAATACATCATTTTATTTATGTAAAATCATGATGAGCTGCCAAGATGACGGATTCTAACGGCTCGTTTTTCCAAAGCTTGGTATTTAGTTTTCATCATCAAATCCCCCCGTGAGATTTCTAATTGAACGATTTCACACAAACTAAACAAAGACGCGGTGTTGAATGTTTCTAATGATCTTAATCTTGTAAACAGCAGCTGCATTTGTCGGAGGCTGCTTTCAGAGGCGGATAATTCCACGTTTGGTGCTGTAGTAAGAATCTCAGCAGCAGGACGGGATCAAAACTAACTAATGAAGGAATTTGAAGTCTGATGTGTTATAAATCTAAATCCTGTTGAATGTCAGCGTCACTGGTGTGTGTGAAAACATTCTGAGGAATATTTACACTCACCTCATTAATTGATTACTACATTTCTGACATGTACTTTGACTCTACAGTTTTAGTCCATGTTCCATCTGTTAACATGGAGAGGGCAGGATTTCTGCAGTGATGGGTTGTAACGAAGTGCATTTACTTTGTCACTGCATTTAGATAAATCTTTTACGCATGTGTACTTTAAAGATTTTTTTTTTCAAATACACATAAAATGAATTAGGAAGATGCCAGAGGGGTTTATGACCTATACAGCAGCCAGCCACCAGGGGGCGACCCAGATGTTTTGGCTTCACTTTTGGGGGCGGTCATGTCGTCCATCTTTAGGTATTCTGTCGAAGGAAGGAAGGACGGACACTGCCACTGTGTGGAAAGGACTGACATTTTAAAAGTATTTAAATAACAGTGGGACAGGCCGAGCTGCTCCGCCTCTTATATCACCCGCTAAGTTTAGACGCCTTTGTAACACAGAGGAATCTGACAGAGACAACCTGGAGATGGTACTTCCCAGCATGCACCTGGCACACACTTGTTTGTGAGGTCAAATAAGAAAGACGTTTGTTTGGGGTTTAACAAACGCATTGGTTCTTTTTTATTCTGTGTTCACAGGACAGCGACAACAGACTGCAAATAAATAGGGATTTTACTTCTTCCTGTTATATTTCAAATGTGGGCGTGGACAGCCGCCCTTTTGAGTCTGATTCATGATGTCATCCTGTTTTTATATCATCAAATAACTTATTAAAACCAAACTGATCAGAAACACTTGAGCAAACACCAGTGAGACAAAACGACCTGAAATGAATAAAAACATTTTTGACAGCCACCAGGGGGCGATCGAGAAATTATGGCTTCACCTTTAGGAGCCGTCATGTCTTGGTCCTCAACCTCCCTCTCTCCTCATCGGGTCGTTTTATTTACTGATCTGAACTTTGTCACAAGCAGCTCGACTGTTCACAAGAGCTCTGAGGTCACACACACACA